AATAAATTTCATATGGCGGGTAGCTGATGCAATGGAAAAAAAATTATGGTTTTGAAGGAACCTGTCTTTTTTATCTAGGTTGTTGAACATATTGCATGAAGTTGTTTATAAGATTATCCTATTATTTGTTTATATGTGTAAGATCTATAGTAAATAAAAAGAACACTCCTGCACTGAATAGGAGTTGGCAGAAAATCTCTAAGAATCTTTCTAATGTGAGACTTCAAGATTGATAACCTGTTATGAAATGAGAGATCATACGGACCTTCTCTGCAGTTCTTTGCTTCTAGATTTCTTAGTTCTTCAGCTGTCAATCAAAAGTAGGCATCATGTTCTCACCAGTAACATTCTTTCCTCTCTACCTCATCTTCCTTTCTCTCTCTCCCTTTTAGAAGAGTTGCTCCAAGCTTTTGCTCTATTGCAAATGAACCTATAATGGCAATTTAAATTTGCAATGGTAATTTGAATGCAGTGGTTTCCTTAGCAACAAAAACTTATTTGTGGTTCAGACTTTGGAATTTAAAAAATCTCAGAGGTCTAATTAGTACTTTTCCTGAGCAAGCCATTTACAACCAATATTTTGAAAACCCAGCATAATTTTAAAATAGTGAATTAAGATTATTGTATCACAGCAGGTACATGGAGCATTGGATTTCCCAACCCACTTTCCACAAACTTCCTGGAACTAAAACTTAACAAAAATTCCTAAGGACATAGTGCCAGCTTCTCCAGCCCAGCAAGTCCAGCATGGATGAAATACTGACCACGGAAAAGACAGCTTTTCTTGCCAAATCCCTGACCATTTTAACCCAGTAACAGGCGTGGCTTAGAGTTAGAAAGGTTTCATTCCTGGGTGGCACAGGCATACGGTGTCAAATCCTCCTCCCAAACCACCTGCTACCTCCTACCTCCAACACGTACACACAGACACACGCGCACACACACACACACACACACACACACACACACACACAGCAGTGTTCTGCACTGTTTCTTCTCCAAATTATCAAATTATCCAGTGGTCAAAAGGTATTTGGTCCCAACCAGTCTCTCTCAGTTTGTGGTAGGACTAATTTGTTAATGGGGCTCCAGAAGGAAAGTGCCTAATGTTTCTTCTAATTGGACATGACTGCTTCAGAATGACTGCGGCTGCCAGCCAGTTCTCACTGTCCCTGAGGCCGGATAATAAGCTTCTCCCATCGGGCCCTGGGTCTTGACCAGGACCATCTGCAGTAATGAACTTGGAAGGCTCATTGTAGATTGCAAAAAAGGAAGAGAGAAAAGCACAGTCCAGTTCTTGTCAGGGGGCTCAATTATGGCTTCTGTCAGCTTAACAAAAGATATTCAGAAAAAGCTAGGATTAGAAGGGGTGCGGGTTAGCAGGCAAAGAAGGACGGGTGATGGGGGAGACCCATGATGGCAGAACCAGACTGAAATTCCTCCAGGACCAAGGTTTCTGGAAGGAGAAGCTCAGAGGTCACAACAATAGGTATTCAGTTCCCAGCGTCCAAACGTGAGGCTCTGCAGCGATGGGCACCAGGGGTCAGGGTTCAGTGCGTGTCACTTATTTGAGGGTACAAGCTTCTCCCTACTTGCTGCAAATCCCCAGAGGGATGGGAACTATGTGCACATTATAGGCTGATCATTACTATCATCACTGTTGATTGTTTTCCAAAACAAGATCTTGGAGAATTAAGATATTTTTTTAAAGCCCTTTTATTGTAAAATGATACATATACAGAAAAGTGCCTAACACGTAAATCTATGGCTTAAAGTATTATTAAAAAGGAAACACTTGTAATCAGCACTCAGGCAAAGAAATAGAACGTTGTCAGAAGTCTCATCCTGCTCCCTTCCTGATTGCAATGCCTTTCATCACCCCAAAAAAGAAATCACTCTCCCAAGTTTCATGCTGATAAATTCACTGTCTTCTTCATGGTTTTACCACCTAAGTAGGCGGCCCTAAACATTTTAGTTTAGTTTTGAGTGTTTTAAGCTTTATCTAAATGCGAATTAATACAGTATATATTGGTCTGGCTTCTTTTGTTCAACATTGTGAGATTCATCTAGGTTGTTGCATACGGCCATAGTGGGTTAATCATGATAGTGGGTTTATAGTTGGAATATTATGTCATATAAATATAGCACAACTTATGTGGTCAATTGCTGAATGGTGTTTGGGCTATCAAATATTTTTTGTCCAGGAGCAATGCTTTTAGGGATATTCTTGTCCACTAGTACACATATTTCCAGAGAATATAACTGGAAGAGAATCTGCTGAGTGAGAAGCATCCCAGAGAGATTTGACAAGACTAGTTCCTAAGTCATTGTAAACAGCTAGAGAAGAGACTGGCTCATCAGAAATTTGTCTGTTAGACCAGGTGAGGTGGCTCATGTTTGTAATCCCAAACTTTGGAAGGCTGAGGTGAGAGGATCGCTTGAGCCCAGGAGTTCGAAACCAGCCTATGCAACATTAGCGAGATTTTGTTTCTACTAAAATAAAATAAAATTAGCTAGGCATGGTGGCGAGTGTCTATAGTCCAAATTATCTAGAAGGCTGAGGTGGGGAGATCACTTGAACCCAAGAGATTGAGGCTGCAGTCAGCCATGATTGTGCCACTGTACTCCAGCCTAGGTGACAGTGAACAGTAAGACTCTGTCTCAAAAAAAAAAAAAAAAAATCTTTTCTTCTGCCTTGTGTGATTATCAGCCTCCAAAATGGCCTTGAATGATCCTCGCATTCTGATATTCATGTTGTTCTGTAGCTGCCTTCCACACTGTATCAAAGGTGGGTGTGGCCCATTGAATAGGGTAGAAGTGATGGTCTATGACTTCCAAGGCTAAGTCATAAAAGACATTGTGGCTTCTATCTTGCTCTCTTGAGTCACTCCTTCTGGGGCAAGTCTACTGCCATGTCATGAGGATGCTCAAGCAGCCCTATGGAGAGGCCCAGCTGGCAAAGAGCTGAAGCCTGTAGTAAGCATGGATGAACCATCTGATTCTCCAGCCCCAGTCAAGCCTTCAGATGATTGTAGCCCTGGCTGTATCTTGACTGCAACCTCATGAGAAACTCTGAGCCGGAATTACTAGCTAAGCAACGCTTGGATTCCTGACTCTTAGAAACTATGTGAGATAATACGTGTTTGTTGTTTTAAGCTACTAAGCTTTGGGTAATTTGTTATGCAGCAGTAGACACCTTGGTTTATTTAGACTGGCAGAGGTGGGAAAACAAAGCATTCCCAATTATCAGCTGTTCAGAAACAACCTATAGTTTATATTTATCTTCTTCTACTTGGCTTAGAAATTAAAATAGTAGTCACCATCAGATTGAGTTTTCATTCTTTTTCTCTCTTCCTTTCTTTTTCTTTTTTTCTTTCCTTCTTTCTCTCTTTCTTTCCTTCCTCTTTCTCAAGTGCCCACTTTGACCTAAATTCCCGTGATTAGAATCTCTCTCCTCTCCTCCTCTCCCCTATTTCCTCCTTTCTTTTCCCTTCCTTTCCCTTCACATTTTCTCTCCTA